CTATTTAATTCAACAAACAATAGAAGATCATTTAACTTTCTTTGTTTAAATGAAATAATTTATTTACAAAAACAATTTACAGCATAATAATGAACATTTATCTTATAAATATCACACAAACTACTAACTAATTGTAAGTAGTAAACACGATTGAATTACAGTAATTCTATAACAGAATACAAGAAGAAATCCATAAATTAAAATGTACACAAAATTTGATAGCTGAATAAAAGACATTTTTTTACAAACCACTTAACAAATACAAACAAAGACAGAGAACAATTTTCAATGAACAATGCTTTTTGCCAAATGACCTTATTGATTAGTGCATTTACTCAACTTTTGAGCTATAGTAAACATGAGTAGCATCGTATGGATTATGAGATTAATTCTGTTTTTCTAGATTTTCACTTTAAGTCTTGTTCAGAAAACAAATAAACCAGTTTATTTAAACAAAAATGCTTTTTTCTTTTGTCAAACGTTCTATTTTTATAGTGTAAAAATAATTCAAGCGTAAATTGGTCTCTTTAATTTTTGTCTATATCCCATTCATTAATAATGTCAGAAACGACTGGTTAATCCTCAATTAACTAACCGACAAATGAGCAGACTGACTCAACTATAGATTGGACGATGTAGACAAAAAGAATGGATAAACAGTTTATTTAGAATTTGAGCTGGTTATTGGGTTATTAGTTATAGACCGTGTACTTAAACTAACCGTTGAGAACCTGTAATCACTGGACAGACATTTCATTCTAATATGGGACTTCTCAGAGGTGCATATCCATGACCTTTCACGGGATAGTCATGATCGGGACCTTCATTCCAGAGCGCGAATTTTATGATGGTAATTATATTCATCTTTTCAAAATGCCAAGGATTCGTGTATCGAAAGATTTTCGGCTAGGTTAACTAGTGAACATAAATTAGTTGACTACTTGTGCAAATAGTTTAATTCAAGGGGGTCTCGCTCGCTTTACAGGGTACTCCAAGGATGTCACTACATGAATATAAGCACTTTTAGAGGACTACTAGTTCATTTAGGATTGCCGACACTCACCAACGATCAGATATAAGATAGGTTTTGACCATTTTACTATTTGCTTCTAATTACCAATATGGTGAGCAATAGTTGGATTCCACTGCTAACAACTATCTATCTGTGTTTATTATTACTATATTATATTTCAAACTAATCAAAGTGATATTTGAATTAAGAATGTAAATTTGAATGACTGAATTTTTAGCTAATTTATAAAATCATGTCAATATACTATTGGCAGAAAAATACCACCTGACTTTCAAATAATTCTAGCCATGTTCGATGCGACAATTATTACACCAAAACTCTTCTAACTGATCAGATGCAAAGTTTATCGAATTATCCATTTCAAACAAGACTTTGATATAGCTAAACGGATGAATCTATCTAAAAAACAAATAAGAGACATAGGTAGTTGGTAATTCTATCTAATGAACAATACATGATGAAAACTATATTATATTCATGAAAAAAAGGTGAATAATGCCACAGCTAGGATAAATAAAGCGAAAACAAGACAACATATAAAAACATGCATACCCAAGTTCAGTCTATCAGAACTACATTTAATTCTTTTGTGGTGTATGCTACTTATGTTGATAGATATAAGTAGCATATATCACCATAACAGAAATGAAGGAACTGAGGTTTGTTAGAAACACTTCAAAGAAGATATACAAATGATTCACTAAATGTATGATTGTTACATTTTACTAAACTACTAAGCGAATTCCCATTGAACAATACATTGGTTATCCCCCCACGATCAAGGTTATTCAGATAATTTATAGAGTAGTTGCGAATCAGGTCACGAAGATGAGCATAAGTTTGGTAAATGCGTAGTGACCTAATTTTACCAAGAGAACGCGATTGGTTCAATGGAAACAATTATTATTGTGACCAATCGTACCAGTGATTGTTTTACTGTGCTCGTTTGTTTAACCATACTAAAGACATCCATCACTCATACATTATTCTTCCGTTGACTGTGACCTTTTACGCTCGCTCGTTCGCCCATTGATTCCGCTTGTATTTCCTTCGGCACGGTCTCAGTATACTTTCGAGACCACAAGATCACCAACGAATATATCTCGTTACTACCTTCATCTGCCTTCTGATTTTCTGGTACGCTCTCTTCTTGTAGTGGTGTACATAGTCAACCGCAACTCGACTCCACGCTACAACTGCTTGTTGTGTGGCAAGTTTCATCCATGCAATTCATGTGTATTTTGTAATTTTAAATGCTTTAAATATGATGAGATTGGATACATGATTCGTTTCATTGCAAGTAATGCTAGAATTTGTAATTGTAAGTCAGGTGTATCTAATGATCATTTATTTTTATTCACGACTTCGAAAAGCGGTGTAGAGTCACATAACATTCCAGAGTTAAATGAAACTCAGAATCATTGTGAGACACAAGCTACCCGTAGACCAACTTCTAATCCGATTTCTCATGTTATTGTACCAGATATAGTTTATCCTAATGATTCACATATTTTTGATGATATTTCTCACAAATCTGAGGAAAATATGTTGGATGAATCTAATCATGATCGGAAACCTGATCCAGTTTTGATAGATGCAGACTTTATTCTTTAATGAAATTCTCAATAAATTTGAGGAATATATTGAAAAAATATCAAATTCTGACGCCGTATCAAATGTCATTTTGCCTCACAATGGGCTTTGCTCTAGTAATATTCCTGATGACTGTGACAAATATGTTCTGAATAAGGCAAATTCTCGTCACATATATGATATTATTGTATCAGATGTTGGATATTCTCACAACAAATGTATGCAGAGTAGAATCCCTAGTCAATGGTTTAGTGATCAGACGGAATAGCAAGTTTGCTCGAAATAGTCAGGGAACCGGTTTAGACAGACATGAAGTTTGCACAAGCAGAAAATTCGAATCGATTCCAGGATTACCTCAATGAATATGAGGCAGATGCAAATTTCCCATTTGATTATTTTGCAGGCTAATCAAACGTAGATGAATTCCATATTTCCACTACACATGTCGATGCATATTTTTCTGTTTAATGTGAAATGAAAAGCAAATTGAATATATATTGTATTTTTATAAAATTCAAATTCGCAAGATGGAATACCCTAAATTACATGTCAGTGTGTTCTCCCAAATAGTGTAGTGTCGGATATTATGTTAAGCCCATATATCTTATTCTCGCTTTCGGTCAGCTCAATCTATTCATTCTACTTGGGTCACATTTTGACTTTGTTAATTATTCGCTTATCAACCGTCACTGTTTTTATATGAGCGCATATCTATGTGAACACTTCTTATCCCATTACTCATCACATGTCTGTGACTTATTTTTGTTTGCCTATAAATATTATTGCTTGACTAAAGTAGAGTCGGCTTACCCGCTATCTCTACTGCGCGTCGTTTTGCTTAGTTCTATTCCATTCACTTCATATACAAAATATCTGTATTCAAAAATCCATTCTCGGTATTTGACTTATTTGATTCCGTTATTGACTAACGCGACTTAAGTCGATGATTATATACGGGGATAGGTGATAACAAATATACATACGATCTACTTTTAGTCAGATCTCAGGCCGCTAAAGTGGAGTGCCAGTCAACAAACATCGTCCGATCTAAATGACGACAAAATAACGAGCCACAAAAGTGGTGACCCTGCCGACGACGAACCGAACACAGCAAGCTACGTCGATGAAGAGACTTCTGCACTTGATAGATTCGACGAAAAAAACTCGATGGATCCGGCTCAATCTCTAATCCAACGCACTCAGCAAAGCCTGTGCACACGACATGGACATGCACAGACCTTATTATCTTGTCGTTACTTTGTCCTCATGTCAACTATTCCCATTGTACCATTCGTCGGATTGTTCCATTATGATTCAAATTATCATTATATGCTTATTATTACATTGTCGTCAATATCATGACCGGATGTGGAATTATTAATCTTGTTCGTGCTGTCAATAAATTATGACATTTTCACAATCACATCACTCACCGAACGAATAATCATTTTATGAGCTTTCCACGTTATAACAGTCGAAACTCATTGGACTATATTTTTATTACTCAAAAACGTAAAATTTTCCTACTTTAAGTGAGTTCGTTCCAAATTTTTCCATGTCATTTTGACCTAATATTATACTCATTCACTTAGTCGTTGTTATTATTTTATATTACCATAACATACATTTTTCACTTGAAAATGTATGTCTGTGGATGTCTCTAACTACTAGCTAATATGTAACGATTACCACGATAGCCACTAAAGGTTTTAGAACCCTATTGTCAATGTGTGGGTCTTTCAGCTATTTGAATACTTTGTCTATAGTATTCGTTTGTCATACAAGTCGATAGCCCCTGTGTAAGACACAGAGCAGACTGTTGAAATGGGTTCAAAGAACCGCAACTAAACTGACTCCTGGAATAGCAAAGCTCCCGTCTTATGCTTTACTGGCTAAACTAAACATATTCCCATCGTCATATGGAAGAACCAGAAATAACTCGACCACAGTTCTTGAATAACTTAGTGATAAATTTGCATATGATATATCTTCTTCTTTTCTGAACTTCCAAAGCAGTGAATTTACGAGGAAGCTCTAAAAAAGTTCAGAAGGCAAGAACAAACTACTTGACACCTGAATATCGACTTGCTCATCGAATAACGAGCGTATGGAATTAATTGTCTCAATACATGATTGTAGTCCCGTCCGTCAACTCTTACGAAATACGTTTGGATCAACTGAGAGACGACCATTGACCGGAATTATACAGACCATCTAGTCCTTACCGAGAAGAAAGTAGAACCAATGCTTTTCTTATTGATGTATTTCTGTTATTTATATCACTGAAGCTAATGAATGTATCTTTGAGTTTATCAACACAAAAATCAGCAATAAATATGAATATGGTGTATTACTTTATCGGATTCAAATAATTAAAGTGTCGCAACAAATATTCTGCGGGCTTTGCAAGTGTTTTCGTTTCTCAAGGTTGCTCAGAATGTAGTGTAATCCTAATTTACAGATTGTTTGTCTTTTTTATTACGTTCCTAAACAAGATTTGTCTATATTGAGTTCTAACTCGTTTTTTCATTATGCTGACCACTTCATGTGAATAAACCATACTCAATCTAGTGACCAGTTTTGTTTATTTATTAACTCTAGGTTATTGTTTATTGGCAGAACTTATATTTAACTAGTATCTGCATAATAGTAGCTTGTTTGTTTTCTTGAGACAACTCATTGGCCAATGGTAAAATGCGAATTTCTAACGATACCTCTTAGAACCGTAGCTTTCTTTACGTCGAACACTAAGTTCTGGAAACAGCGCTTCAATATACAAGTTGGTTTTTAGGTGAGGTCTTTCATTGGTTTTTATTAGACGCTCAGTAAGTTTCAATCATTTGGAAATCTACATCTAGATAACTACATGCTTTATAAGTTCCAGCAACCAAATCAGTACTGGTTAGTATTTCAGCTTTCTTGAATAATCTTTTTGCTAAAACACTTTTATAGCTGTTCAGTGGACTACAAAATAACATGATTTTGGGCTTCTCTTCTTTTGGTTCACACACATCGAGCGTTTTAAATGTAAACTCCGCATTGGTTTCTTTAGCCATACTAACTGCATTGATAATTCCTTGTTCGATAGCAGATGTGCGTAAAAATATACCTACAACGAATGATTTACTGATGGTATTTATCTTATGTCGACATGGCGATAGGTCTCCTGTTCACACTTTTCCAACAGATCCATATCGAAAGCTATGGAAAATGGGATATGGTCAGCTAACAGCTTATGGTGCAGAACAACATCAAGAACTTGGTCGAATTATCCGAAAAATGTATTCTGGTTTCCTTCCTGAAGTTTATCATAAGGTACCGTCGTGTTTCAGTTAACGCCTAAGTAGTAGGATGAAACATTGTTTCGTAGTTCTGGGACTGAAAGGACACTGATGTCTGCAAACAACTTTATCCGAGGATTTTATCACTTGGAAAAGAAGAGCACAAATAACATTCCTCCTGTGTTTTCTAGACTAGTACACGAAGATCACCTGTTAAAAATGTCCAGCAAGTGCCCTAAATTTAAAAGGCTTTTTCACCATCTGATGAACTCATCAGTGGTATCTCAGAAAGCAAACACATTGAGAAACTTCTTCGACCTCCTGGAGCATACGACTGGTAAGTTAATTAAAAGTCAAAGCTATGGTTCCTTACAGTGTTTACTTGTCAAAATGACCCTACTTATTCTGTGCTTCCCAGCGTATAGGTAAATGTAAACGCCATAAGATTTATATCTGTCTTAAGCAGGGAATTCATTTTATCTTGCACTATTTGACCACCTATATCCGTCTTCATAAGTAATGTGCTGTTATCTAGACGGATCACCAGTGATATGAAATATTCTCCATCATCTCAGTATTCATTGATTGAGCCTGCCACAAAACAAATTCATTGAAGCTAGGGGAATATTAAAGTGTAGTGGCTGTTAGACAGGAAATAAACATACCTGACTATTGTTTTAGAGATTCAGAGAAAATAACAAAGTAGATTTGTGCAGTTGTGGTCGATTCTCAACTATCGGAGAGGTTTCTTGCCAACAGGTTACAGATTCCAATAAATCTCAGTATATCACTACTTTCTGAGACAAACAAACTTGACTAAATAGTGTACACATCATTGTCTGATCTTTTTCCAGTCGTTCCCAATCTCTGGAACCAATCAACATCCTTTATATCGTTAGCTTGTGGTTCCTAATTCGTAGCACATGCCATAGCTACTTCAGTTCAGGTCAGTAGTTCAGTGATGTTTGTCTTTTATGTCGCCTGTTTTTGCTTTCGACCAATTGTTTCTTACTTGTGGAGTATCTCGTGGTCCCATCATTTTTGATGCATCTTCTCTTGTAAAATGCAATTTCGTTTAGTTATTTTTCTTTACGTGTGTCCGTTTTGAAGATAATCTAATTTCTGTTCTTACTTGATTTTGCAAACGTTTGTCTATTCATTCATCTGAAGGCAGTGTTCATTGGTCAATTAGCATTTTGACCATAGCTGCCAACTTAACTTGCTGATGTTCTTCCTTGATACTTTAAGAGGAACCGTGTTTACTGAGGTTGTTTGGACCGTGTAAAATCATAAGCAGTAAATTCAAGATCCGATGGTGAATCTATAATACTGACTATACTGGGTTGTAACAGAAGTGAAGTATTTCCCTTGAATGGCCAGGATTCTTAGCCGTTCTGACTGATGTATTACAGTTGGATGTATAAAGCAAGAAACGTTCATGGATATGTGATGAATGAAGTGAAAATACAGTTTATAAATATTTTTAACCACATTCCTTTGATCAGATAATAACTCAAAGCTTACTAGTGATTTGCTTCCTAATGAAAGTTCTAAATTCCTAATGGGCAGCTGCTTCTAGTGAAGCCAACTGAGTTGGATAGATTCTTTCCGGTGAGATTAATAAACGAGCACCTAGATCACAAAATAATACATTTAAAAAGTGTTGTAGTAAGTAACTCAGTGACCTATTGTGAGACATGAAGGTTTCATGTTCGGTTAATGTATGGGTCCTATGGTGTACACTGTTGAAGAATTTTAAACCAACACTAAATAACTTCCTAATGGGCTTTGGCTTCCTCTGGATTTCCAGCTTGTTTCACTCTGTGTAAATCACTTACACGAATTTTTACTGGAAGGTAAACAATGGTGTACTACTGAACGTACATTACCAGTTTTTCAAAGTTTGATTTGAACTGAAATAACATAGTAGCTTATGTGCAACTCAGCGATTGTCTTCCGAGGCTTATGTACTAGAATATAGGTCACAGATTTTCTATCCCATTGCTAAGACTCCTGTAGCATGTTAAATAAAGTAAGCTTTATCAATCGACTGGTCAGTTAAGCGTCAAATACCTACATTATACATCCAAATAATCTCATACAAAAATAAAATAGACCGGATAAAAGTGTTTTTATTTTTGTATTGTTTAACAGTTGTGCTAATACTTTTATTTGACTTTCTCAATTAAACTAACTTAGGGTACACCTTCCCTATTGACAGAAGTTCTTCAGATAATTTTTACACAGCCTGGCGTATATGTGATCCTGTTACGATATGGGTGGATCATTCATTGCCTTCACTTCCTCGTTGGGTCACCAGTGATGTTTATAAACAATGCTCTAACTTATTGGACTATAAACATTTCATTCGATTTTCTAAACCACAGTTGACAAGATTACGAGGTGGTCCGCTGGCTGGTCATATTATGGATTTATTTCGTGAGCGTATTAACCAAGAGCTAAAGAATAGTGATCATGACATGGATTCACCAGAACAACTACGTCGACGTTTCGTCGCTTATTTTGCACATGATTCTACACTGGCAGCTCTAATGAGCCATTTAGGTGTATATAATGGGTTAGTTATTTTTACTTTAGTGAATTAACTTAAAGATTATTCAGAACTATAATTCATGAGATTATATTCGATAAAATGTATATCCATTCATTGTATTCGTTAATGCTCACATATAGTTATGCAGTGTAGCTAAGTCTCAATTATATTAGGTAAAGTTCTGTTCCATAGTTTTGTGCTTAACCTCATTGTTCTTGAATAAGACATTGCTTAGAATTTTTCTTCTCTTTCATTATTTCGTTGGTTTTCCTTGCATGCATCGGAAAAATTAGTGTTCCACCAGGTACAAAGTAACGGTTATTTTTGTTGTAATTGTTTGTCTACAACAGATGTCTGCACTATCAAGCAGTGTTTTCGTTCTACCATCAAATAAAACTCATTAAATATCGTTTGTTTGAGGCCTAATATATGATGTTTTCATTCCACTATAAACAAATCGCGCATATTCGAACGATTATTTGACTCCGTTGAAAAAATTTCATAGGGTCAATTGTACTGTAGTAATATCATTGCCTATTTGGAAGGCGTCTAATGGAAAATCATAACAGAATATTGACTTCCTGTATTAAACCAGGTAGTTGGTGCATGTTCCATATCGAAAATTGAAGTTAAGAGACGTAAAGTAAAGCTTGACATAAAGTTACATCAATTGCAGATAAATCTGTCTAAAGAATTTGTGATTTCATATCCAAATCAATTAAACCTATAGAAGACTGATACACAAGTATGATTCACTTCCGAACCAATTTATCTCAACTTGTTGTATATTCTATCAAAGTTTTATCATTTATTTTTAGCTGTCGACGTGGTCGACTAGTAATTTAATACTTTTTTATTGACATTTTTGTGGTAGATGATTGTAGAAAAAAGCCTAAGAAATTAGTAGTTTTGTAGTGAACAAGAACACCAGTGGGGGCAACCGAATGTATTTAACACAAAATTACAGGACTTATTAATAAAACATAACAATCATAAAGTAAATGCCTAATTTGCAAAATGTCCACCAATGGTCTCAAAATGACTCAGACTTCATTGCTCTTGCAATTTCATACAAATTGCATCCTGTTTCCATTCTTTACTGTCCGATACTCTTGTCTCTTTGCTGCCAGACTTTCTGTTTACAACTAACATCATCTACTACTTATGTCAATATAAGTAGCACACACCACAGTCTCATTCAATTTGGAATGGTTGAGATTATCCCGTTGTTGATACTTTTGACTGAAATTTGATCACTATTGATTGGCATATGTAAATTTTGTGAGGATTGCCTTGATGTAACTATTATGACAAGTTTATATAAATGAGACAGAACGAAACTCGCTTCCTTAATTTCTCTGCTAGCCGCATTCTATTTATTGTATATCAAATCAGTAGTTTCTTTTTGAAATTCAGTCAGTCAATTAGTCATACACTACGTAGAACTAGACATGTATCTGCAGCGGTACAAGTTACTATGCCAAATTAGTACGTCAAGATAAATCACAGAATAATAAGGTTAGTAAAGGTATCAGTGATAACAGAAAAAAATTAGGTATGGAGAGACTGAGGTTATAAGAGAAGACCAATAATGAATGCACCTGAACCATGCAACCCAAAGTTTCTAACCAATTATAATAAATTTATTTTTTGTTATATTCCAATGAGTAGAAGTGGAAGATGTCACTTACATAAAGTCACGAAACGTCAGAAATACAGTTTTTCTACTCATTAGGTCAGTCCGTCAGTCAGTAACAACGTAGAACTTCGTACGTATGTACATCAATTCGAGTTGTCATACCACATTAGCACAGAGATACAATTGTCGATTCAAATCCCATAGTGGTAGAGGTAATAAGAGTATAAGCAGTAATCGGAAAGATTAGGGTTTGAAGATATTACTCAAGGCGTACAATCCAGCAAAATAAATTTAGAAAGAGTGAAAAAAGAGACCATTAATAATTCAGAAGACTAGAATTTGGTAGAACACAAAGAGTGGATGCACGTGCACCATTGAAAACGAATTTGAGCCATGTCATTCAGGGTCTCTAACCATCGGTTGCTATCATCTCACCAGGTAGTCTACACCTACCAATATAACTCAGTCCACTTGTCAGTGACTTCATGGACTTGTGCCATGTTTTGGTCTGGCCGCCCCTAGCTTTCTTCCAATCTACTCCTATACAACAAAACATCGCACGTCGAGGCAGTCGGTCGTTGGGCATACGTAACAAATGTCCTAGCCATCTCAACTGATGAAGTTTCACTACGTCATCAATTGATTTACCAACAGACTGGAAAGAAGAACTTCTGATCAAAATACCGAAGAAAGGCGACCTCAGCAACTGTGATAACTACAGGGGCATCATTCTTCTCTCAATACCGGGAAAAGTCTTCAACACGGTATTGTTTAACAAGTTAAAGGACTCCGTAAACGCCAAACTTCGTGACCAACAGGCAGGATTCCGTAAGGATAAATCGTGTACAGACCAAATCGCAACTCTACGGATCATTGTGAAACAATCAATTGAATAGAATTCATCACTCTACATCAACTTCATTGACTGCGAAAAAGCATTTGATAGCGTGGACAGGACAACACTATGGAAGCTTCTTGGACACTACGGCGTGCCTCAGAAGATAGTCAATATCATACAGAGTTCATATGATGGATTACACTGCAAAATCGTGCATGGAGGACAGTTGACAAAGTCGTTCGAAGTGAAGACCGGTGTTAGGCAAGGTTGATTACTATGCTCCATTGGGAGTAACGGGCGTAAGTAAGTAAGTAATTTTAGACAATATATTTGTCAAACTGATTCCTCTGTGATTGTTACAAGAGGACTTTTGTCCTTTCTTATAGACTGGCACAATCAGTGATTGAGACCAGTCAGATGGGATTACTTCCACTTCCCAAATTCTACTTAAGACCTCATTTAATCTCACTGCTAATACTGAACCACCATCCTTAAAAATCTCAGGAGTAAACCTGTCAGGGCCTGCTGCTCTCCCTCGTTTCAGATTTCCTATGGCTTTTTCAACTTCGTAAAGAGACGGAGGACCTACATTAACTTGACATTCAGGTTGACTGGAGATTGTGGGAAACCGAAGTGTGGCTGAAGTCTAGTTGAACTGATCCCTAAAGTGTTCTGCCCGTCGATCCAATCTCCTGGATTGAGAATGTATAATATGTCCATCTTTCTCTGAGAGTGTTTCTGTAACAGTCGGTTTCCTTAACAACTCCGAACAATTGTCTGCTATTACCTATTGCCGCTGCCTTTTCCATCTCTCTTGCTTTCGCTACCCACTACTGTTCGCGATCATTGCGTAGACTTCTTGTCAGCTTGCGTTTAAGCTGACTCCGCTCTTTACTATGTTCAGGGCCAGGTGGAATGAGTTTCTGAGCATCTGTCAGTGCGATAGATGCTGCTGAGATCCAGTATTTCTCCCTAACATTGTGGTTTACCTTACTAGCAGATATCACTGCTGTTTCCACAGCTTTACGGATATCATTCCATGCTGCCTCGGGGTGGGCATCACATACATGGCTGCCTAACTGTTTTTCTAGCTGTTCCTGAAATATACTCTTAGCTTGACTATCATTAAGTAGGCCCCTAAGAGGTTTACTTGCAGCGTCTTTCCTACGTCCAGTAAGACACAGGCAAATACGCGCTCGTACTAGAGCATGATCTGAATCTAAGCATGTGCTCCAGAATGAGCAACAGTCTTCTATCGAGCCCCTCCATCGGTGGCTGATAGCGATATGATCTATTTGGGTCCAACGTTGGGACGAATTAGGGGGTCGCCATGTTAAAAGATGCTTTTCCTTATGCTTAGAGTTAGTATTTGCAAGGAATAGATCGTTATCTGAGCATAGCTGCAACAAACGGTCGCCATTATCTGTTCTTTGAGCCACGATGCTATAAGATCCACCTAGGTGTCTTTCCCTATCTCTTAGTTTACCTACTTGAGCATTAAAATCACCGGCCACTATTACTACATCAGAGCACCTAGCTTTTAGGAGGAGGTCGGAGAGCTTTCTGTCAAACTCATCTTTTACATCATCTGCGCTGCAGTTAGTGGGAGAATAGGCAGAGACAACTAAGAGGCGACGACGAGTGTCCCTATCTTTTCGGATCCTTACTGTTCCGTTCAGTCGGACAGAGCACAAACGGCTGTCTATTGGGATCCAGTCTGAGAGAGCTAGTTCTGCTATCTATACCGGCGAAGCCACGAGAAGCAGCATCAGAGCTTCCAGACACACGAAGTGTGAATCGAGTTGGTTCTTTATTTTGACATGGTGAGGTCAAATGAATGACTACTCGGATCCTGTATGAGCGTTTTGGAGACGCAGCACACATCGATGGCGCGAGATTCTAAAGTCTTAGTTAAGGAAGCCTGTTGTCCTATTTGGCACAGTGTTCGGACGTTGAAAGCTCCTACGTGTAGTTTAGAGCGTGGTTTTAGGAGACCAGGAATAACGATCCGAGTACTGGAATCATTTACCTTGGCAGTGCGAGGTGATAAAGGGACGTAAGAAGGGTTAGTCATGGAGATAAGAGAGGTATTAAGAGATGTGGGAAGGATTTGAATGTGACCAACTTGGTCTCGTGTGCTGTTACGGGTATTAGGGCTGATGTCACTTCCCGGCTGCCCACACCGTGGAAGGGTATTTCTTGAGAAACCTGAAAAAGAAGTTGTATTATTGTTGGTCTTGACGACCTGGGAGCGTGACCACAGAGCTCAAGGGGCAACTGCTTGAGGCCGGTCGCGCACGGCCTTTTCGTGGGAGGTTTTTAATATGTTAGCTCCGTTCTTCCGCCGGAGACGGAAATTCGTGAGGTAAGGTGAGGTGTGACATTTTTAGGGCCGACCTTTCCTAACCCCACTCCTCCTTGTGGGAAGGCAGAATCGCTGGGGATGCTGGTTGTCTGAGGGAAACACCTTACTGCTGTCACAGCCCTCTACAGTCAGCAGTACGACTTCGCCCTCAGACCTTGAGTTGCTGCTTTTAGTTTTACCGTTCTCCAATCGACCTGCCTGGCATGGTAGAACTTACAGGAACATATGTTCCAGCCAATATAGCTCGGTTGGGTCATCACGATAGGCAAGCCCGACCACCGCGTAAAGGTAGCAGCTTCGATCAGGTTACTCACTAGGACATAACAAAAAACTTATTACTAACTTTCTACCTAATCCTCAATATATTTGAAACTATCAAGTCCAACCTTGCCATTGATACCTACAAACTCATTTCTAACCATTAGTTATGATAATAACACTAACCACCAGTAGGTAGTCTACATCTGTCAGCATGACTCAATCCAACCGTCTATAACTTTATGGACTTTTGCCAGATCCTGATCTGCCTCTCTAACTTTCAACCTATTTCTACACCAGACAACATCGAGGGTCTAAGTTGGCGGTGATTGGACGCGTCGCAACTACCTTATTTGCTGAAAACTAACTACGTCATCAACTGATTTGGAATTATTACCTAGCGTTTTATGTTTAATCTCAAGATTGTGTACTCGATTATTTTAATCTGAGTAAAGCGGTCGAAATTACGTGTTTAAATTAATTGGAACTAAAAGTATGAATAAAATTAAACTGAAATCTGGAAGATTTACCCATCAGTATTCATTGATGTTGAGTATTATCATGGGGCTGAGATGAAGCTCAACACTTTGAAGATGATCTGAACTATCACTGGTATTGTTTTATAAAGGGATAATTAGGAAGGAAAATATCCTCCTAATATCTCTAGCAACTAACTGTTTATTGTACATCAGTAAATATTTTGTTTAGGACTTTTATATCTTATTTAATGGTAAACAAAATAGAAAGAACTTTTAAAAAGTACTTAAATCTAGTCAGTTTGGACGTTCAATAAGATTGTCTGGTCTTTGCAAAGTAATCATCTATTGTAATCTTGGCTACGAAAAAAAAACCTATCAAATCTCCCTTTGTTAATTTAGTAACTCAACTTGAATTAACTGTATGTTGAGAATATCTATTCAGAAGAAAACACTAAATGAAGTGTATCTGGGATCTTCAAGCTTATTGCCTTTTTCTCAACTCCATACGGTTACAATGATGTTTCTTTTTTGTCTAAATACACTGACTGATGGAACTTAGATGTCTAAAATTACTTTGTTTGTTAATTGTCTCATCACATCGTCAAAGTATAACATCTGCGTTTGAAATGAGATTATAAATATTTTGGTGGAGTTTTGTTCTCTGAGCTGGATGGTTTGGTCGTGGAGCTTTCATCGTTCTTCTGAACGACATCATCAGCACAAACTTCAGGTAGAAGTGAAGTGTTTGAATTTCTCCATATGTATTTCACAGCTTGTTCTGTGCACCTCGATGTTGATTGGTTTTTATTGACCTTAAATTTGACATTGTTTACTTCTTTGTTTTGGTTGTGTCTCCCATTGGTTTGATTTTTGTTCCCATATTTGTGCATGATTTTTCTGATTGGTTGGTAAATTGGATTGATTTCAATATGCTTGTTGATTGCTAATTGACCTGAGTGCCAGGCTTCTCAAAATTCTCTAGTGTTTTTGGAGTTTCCTCTGTCTAAGATTTCCACATTGTTCCAATCGAATGAGTGTCCGCAGTTGTCCATGTATATCATCCACCTGAGCTACAAATCTTCTCCACCATCTCAAAAATTATAAATATTGTTTCGGACACGTTTTTTTGTGAACTAAAGTTTAACTGTCTCATATTTCAAAGAAATTTCTCCTTTAAAGAGTTAATGGCTTGCAGACTTTTACAACTAGTGCAGATAGTTCTTTATAAAATTCTAAAGCTTACATTAATTGTTATACAGATAAAATCCATGTCAGAGATCGACGTATTGGTTGTGAAATGACCAGACTGTGGATAACAATACTGAATAAAGACATTAATAATAGACAAATAAATAATAATATGTTATTCGATATATCTCACGTATAGTGTATAAATTAGTCGAGAAAGTTATGCATCAGGAAAAACTTAGGTGACTATAACTAGAAAGAAGGATAGTTGATATCAATTCATGAGACTGCTGAATGTTTGTATAAAAACGTTTGACGTTCATGTATTGCACACCCATATGTAAGTAGTTTCATTTATTTTTTATGTTTCATTTTGTTTCTACTAATTAATCATACATTAAATAAAGAGGTTATTTCCTTCTGTTGTAGGATCAAACCACCTTTGGCAAGTTGTTTGATAGTAGAACTTCATCGTTCATTATCATCATCTAATAATTTTTATCTTCGATTTTATTATTTAAATGAAACAAAACTACCTTTAAAAACGGATAAAATAGTTAATCTATGGCCAACTAAATGTGAAACTCATAATCATATTGATGGTAAACAATTAGATTATTCATGCCCATTTCATAAACTTGAATTATCACTTCAAGGAACTTATGCAACCGATATTGGAGCTGAATGTTATGATAATGATGCAATAAATAATGTTAAACCAACATATATGAAACCATCAGGCATAAAAATGTTTGAATCTTATTGTTATCATCCACAATTATTAACTTTCATTTTTATTCAAACAGCTATAGTATGTTATTTTGTTGCTCGTTTCTTACCTATTCCAATTGCTTATCTTATAAATAATTTTAGATATTCACGTCATGTACAATAAACTTCTTTAATAATGAATCTTATTTATTCAACATGTAAATGATATTTACTGATTCAAACAAAAGAATCATTCTACTGTTGACTTGAAGTTCTTCATGTGATATTCATTCCTTTTTTTTTTTTACCATACATTGAAAAAAAGTAGTTTTTTAATTAACCTTTCATAAATTATTTTTCTACTCAAATAAGGATAGTACATTAGTTGTTTTTAGTTTTATATACAACGAGACAATGGTCAGTCACTTGAATGCTTATTTCATAATGTTTATATTCAATACAGCCAGCCCATGTACACGTTCAATCAATTATTGTTTCTTAATTTCTTTGTTATATTCTATGAATATTCTTATTATCATAATAATTTTTCTCTTGTCAAAATAAAGTTTTTTTATACTGAACAAAAACATATTTTCATTGGTTAAGATCATGAGTCAGTTGAAGCTAGACAACCATGGGAAACCTGGAAGCACTGGACGGCTGTTTCGTCCTATTGCGGGACTCTTCAGTACTGTGCATCCACGACCTCGCCCCCTGCAAGATTCGAACGCAGGACCTACTGGTTTCGCGCGCGAGCACTTAACCACTAGACCACTGAGCCGGCATCCAACGGTGTTAATGTCTAACTTCAACTAATCCACGAAATTGAGCGACACATCCACCATTATTTTCAGTGAGTTACTATCTCACAACAGACCTGGTTGAACTCCACTGGTCACTACTTCTCACTAGAACTCCAGCATATACCTCTTGAAGCCAGACACTACTGAGCATATGTTGATTAATATCAGATGGGTTTTGTGGATATTATAGTAATTTCAATCGTTAAGATCATGAGTCAGTTGAAGCTAGACCACCATGGAAAACCTGGAAGCACTGGATGGCCGTTTCGTCTTATTGTGGAACTCCTCAGCAGTGCGCATGATCTTGACCGTTAAAATTATTTGAATTTGTCAAGTCAAACCTTGGTAATGAAACCATTTTCTTACCCTGCTTCAACCATGATAAATTTAAACTGAGACACCGAGCAAACGGGCCAACAGCAATGAACAACCAAGTACCACAAGTCTGATTTCAACTGACTCATGATCTTAACCATTGAAATTACTATAATATCCACAAAACCCATCTGATATTAAAAAATATTTTGTTATTGGAATCATGTACATACTTAAAATTTCATTGTTATAACATTCATTTGATTAATAGTGTTTAGTAGTGCTTTCAGGTTTTCCATGATGGTCTAACTTTAACTACCTCATGATTTCGACTAGTGAAATTTCTAAAACTTCCACAAAACCCCTTCTGATAATAGTGTATCTATCAATTTATTATTTATTTCGATAGAACAATGAGAAGACGAAGTTGATCTGAAAAATGTGATGTATTTGAGCTATACATTTCGAACAATCTAGTCACACATACTTGTCAGGTCATTTCACATGAAAATTAATAAAGGTTAATTAAATGAAAGTTCAAGTAAAAAAGTAACAAAGAGGACAGAAAAATTTTCACATCGTATAGAAAGAATAAGAAATTGTGGAGTTAGCCTAGACTATAGAGTGACTTCAATATTACCATGGTAAATTCAAAGTTACCACAAATTATTTTTGTACACATAAGAGGGGTTTAAATTTATGAATAGCTAAGGCTTCAATAAACTTGAGAATTCGTCCTTCACAATTTCTATACAACGTTTTAAAAGCCGTATTAAGGTCAATTTTGTGCCCTGTTTCAATTTTATGTTTCGCTATCGATGAACTTGGTCTTCTACTTCCCACGTTGATCTGATCATTTGACACATTGATTTTGAAGCCATCTAGGTACATGTTCAGTGACCCTTGATTGCATTGTTCGATTACTCCTTCCTATGTACATACATACAAGGTAGTGTCGTAGGTCATTTACTTTTTTAATCTTTAAGCTACATTTTGTATGGGTCGGTCTTTTCTATATGCAGATGATCTTGAAATAATGCATTTTCTCCCCAAGAGCTGAACAATCTGAAAATTCGAATCGGCATGGAGCTTAACAAGGTAGCCCAGTGATGCTCTAAATGCATGTTGAGGCTTAACTCGTCTAAATGTGAATGAATATACTTTGATGGTACTTCACTCAAATTAGATTTTATTATAAATGGCAAGGTTTTATCCATGTTGCATACAGCAGTGGATTTAAGGCTCAGGTGCTCTCAATTTGTCCTTCATAGAACAGGTCTCGAAACAGATTTCCAAGTCTCAGCGTTTTCTAGACTGCATAATTCGTAACCTCTGTAACTAAGAGTCACGCATTTTGATGTCTAAAGTATGTGTTGGACCATTCGTAGAATATTGCACGTTTATTCTTGGTAGTGTTCTCATAAAGGATAAATTAAGGTTGGAATCCACTTAGAGACGATTTGCGATTTGGTGTTCTAGGGAATGGTTGTAATAAACTTGGACTCGACCATTTATGGAAGAGGGGAATCAAATGAAATCTAGTTGTTTTGTTCGAAATACTTGATAAACTATCTTTTACATCCAATGAAGCAATTCAGTATGCAGAAAGTCCTAGTTACAGCATCCATAACGTTTTATCATTAGTGAAGCAATCACATTCGAAATCTCTCCATATGGATTACTCTACTAGTAAGTTTTCGGGACCCTAGATTAGTTTACCACAATCAGTCTGTACAATAAAATCACTCTCATCCTTTGTTCGCTTCGCTGATGCTTACTTCTCCTCTGAAGATGGCTTAAATATGTTTACACCTGTAAGTATATCCTATTCCATAAGAACTTTAAATGTTTAATCATTTTATAATTGATCGTTCTTGAATATTCTTATCATCCAAGTATAAGTAACTACTCTAGAAAATAAAATTGGTTGATCCGGTCACCACACTCAACATTACCTATTTCATTCACCTACCACAGTAAGCAAAACTGTAGTATGACAACCTTTTTACTCTGACCGCTTTACGCCAGCCACTCACCTCAGTGTTCGTTTATAAACACTACATCTCGGATTTAACAGATATCTTCTGTGTAGTATTTCCTTCTCTCTTCCACAGGAACGTCCTCATAAGTTATCAGATTGTTGGGTTTATGTATGAGTTCACTTCTGTATTGTTTACGGTATGATTGACACTTTGAGTGCTTACAACCGAGTGTTATTTTGTGCTTTGTAAGCAAATGACGTCATTTTTCACTATGTTTCACTTCATACAGGCAAGTGAGTTCGAAAATTTGCTTGAAATGAAGTTTAATCAAGCACTTCGCTGAAATTGCAAATATCATATCTATCTGCCTACATAATGAGATCCCAAATAAATCGAAGGACAAGTCTGCGAAACGTCTTTTTCACATACCTCAATAGAAATCGTTTTGATTACTTCACCTCTGTCTGAATTAAATTTCAGGATAACTATCAATAGTTATTTCTTTAGTGTTTTCCTTTTTATGCTTAGGAATCAAAAGAGAATGTATTGCTTATTAGAAAACAGTTTTATTATTATAAAATTAAAGCATCTACAATCAATATTTTTGTCAAATGAATTTTAAGATGTTACATGGATAATCTAACGATCGGTCAATTCCGCATATATTCATGATCATAGTTCATCTAGACCAACGTTTCTTCGTGAACGCTACATTACTTCAATAAAAGATAACAACAAAATGAATTAAATTGGTCATTAATAAGCCAATGTGATATTTTTCCGCAAACAAGCAGTTGGTATTTATTGTTTCAAATGTTCACCCTCACATAAACACAAGCAATGTATTATATGAATCAATACTTGTATTCTAAATGCTGCCACATCTTTTAAAAAATCTGGATATTTGTCGGTATTTGAACGATGTATTGATTTTGACTAGGTTATCATTCCTTCATTCTCTTTGAAGTAATGTGTATGTGCCAAGTGAATTGTCAGAGTTTTCCTGTTAAACTCTCTGTTGTGGTACGTTTTTCTCAAAAGTTCAACATAAAAACTACAAGTTATGCAATCGGTTAATATCAAACTTAACTTTAATATGTGATTCTGTTTATATATAAACGTTAAAAATTATCAAGCAACTAATTGAAGGATTCATTAGAATTCATATATACACGTCTATGTGAAACAAAATGATATTGAGATCAATATAATGCATCCTGTAAGAATTAGAGTGACTTTCAACCGATTATTAAGATAATCATGTGGTGTTTGCTACAGATGTCGATAGATCTAACTAGTAAGTATTATCAATCGAAAGTGAAATATCTGGCGGCAGAAAGTTAAGATTAAAAAAAGAGAACAAGAACGAAGAATGATTGCTGTGGAGATGAAAGGACAATAAAGTCTGAGATGATTGATTGACATTTTGCAAATCGAGTATTTCCTGTATGGTTTTCAGATTTTACTAATATGTTCTGTAACTTTGTGTTCAAATACATTCAGTTGTCTCCACTTGTGTTCTCGTTCACTGCAATCGTACATTTTATGTGAATGGTAATTGATAAGACATTAGTCAAAATTGAAAAACCTACGTTTAAACTTTTGCCTACAAAACGAAACAATACATAATGAATTTATAGTATAATTAGTAGAACTATTTACCAAACAGTGAGAATAAAATGATGGAGATCTAGATTAAAAAGTCTCGAGCGTATAAAAACGTTCTGAATTCAGACGAAAATGAAAGGCTACAATTCAGATAAAGAAATAATTCCACAAAAATTTAACAGACAACTCATAGAGATTTGATGTTTCTTAATATTTCGAAGGCATACAGTGTAATCACTGTCTGAAATTAATTAGTTCTAAGCAATGATCTATTCGAACCATTGTATCAAATATGCAATTATGAATATTTTTTAAATCAATGTGAACATTATGTTAAACTTGGCAAATTGAGAGAAGTTTTAATTGAAATTAAACTGCTTTTGACAAATTATCAATGGTAGGAGATTTAAGAAGTTAACAGTGTTAAAATATTTGGTAGCAATAGTTGAATGATAACTGAACACTCCCACGGAAACAACTTTAATGGCTTACAGAAAAGCATAATATTCTCTTTATATGAAGCTTCTTCCTGAGATGATCGTTATGTGTTGAAAAAGAAACAAATTGAAGAACCAATCTATTGTATTGAGTTAAAATCGACTATAACTAAATTCTTAATTACTGACACTAAACTGTTTATACGATATGAATAATTACAAATTTATCTCGCAAAATATTGTTTTATTGAAATGGCATATTTTATTCAAACGTTAATGACTTTTGAACGCTAGTCGTTAATGAACAGAGATTATAACACAATGTGAACGGATTGACGCCAAGACAAACGTGTATCATTGATCATACACTGGTTGGTATTGATTTGTCAGTTATGTTTAAAACTATCATGCTAAAAAGTTTTTGAAGAACAAGA